AAAAAAAACAAGTGTCTTGCTTGCAACTGAAACCATCTTTGAGTGGAATGCCTTGCAACCCTTCAAGTTCCAGAACCCACGTGCATGTTAGGCTGGAGACGCCACTACCTGTTGAGAAGGCTAGCTTGGAGTTCATGGACTACTTTACCAGGGGTGAGGACCAGCAAATGGGTGTTGTCAAGTCTCCCGCGGTCCTTGGAGAGCGGCCCATCACGAAGAACTATGAAGCTTCAACTAGCTAGTAGGTTTTGTTCTGGTTGGTTCTTTCTTCTGTTTTGGCAGTGGAACATTCTTGCAAACTGACCCTCCCATAGCCTAGGAAGAATCTCTCCAATTGGACATCCAGCACTTGATGACTGTGGCCAATGCATTTGACCCGCATAAGTTTCAGTGGGCTGAGCTTAGGCCATACAACCTGTTCCATCGGTGTCATGCCCAAAACAATGTCACGTGTGGTAAACTGTTGCTGCGTGCAAAGGAGCAGGTTGTTAGCCTAAGAGAAAAAATGGGTTTGAGGGTCTGCATATTCAAAGTGGGGGTCACCAGCAACCCCCCTTTACGTTTTTGTGAATACAAGAAGAAGCACTACTCACACATGTATGTCATTTGTGAATCACCAAGTGTGGACAAAGTTCACATGTTAGAAGCAGCCCTGATCAGCGAGTTTCACAAACACATCGGCTGTAGGAACAAGCCGGACAGTGGGGGGGAAGGAGCGCTTAACAGGACCAATCCTGTCAAGCCTCCTTATTTTGTGTATGTTGTAGCAGGTCGCGCAGACCAATGTCGACGTGTAGGGTAGGCACGTGAGCAAAACTGGTGTTATGCACTGCTCCTTTGTGTTCCATGATTGAAGTTCCACTCTTGCTTCCAACTCATCCCAAATCATCTTGGGTTTTCTCTCTTGCCTGGGTCGCCGAGGCCCCAGCTTCACACATCGTGGAGCTCGCCAAAGCTGAAGTGGCTGACAATGCCAACCCCAGTCGGGCAATGGTTGACTTTGCCAAGATTCCCCTAGAGCATGCTGAAGAGGGCTGCCATGAAGTGTTCTTGAAATATGGCTTTGCAGCTCCAATCGAGATTGAAAAGTTAAATCTTGGTTTGGGGAGCCTTTCCCAATTTCCTTTCTTGAAATTCAGCAGCTGGGCGCAGTTTCTGCTAGATCGGGGACAAGTGCCCATGCAAATGTGTGGGTGCAAGAATCTTAGAGCCATGAGAGATGTCCTTGGTGAGTTCTGGGAGAGATACAAAGCTTTGCATCCAAACCACCAACTCTTCCAGATTGTGCAGGGTGATGATGAGCGTCTGCGAAGGACGATCCCTGTCTATTCACACACTGATGAGGGCAGGACATACAAGCATGAAGCACTATTTGTGCTCAGCACCCATTCATGTTTGGGAAGGGGCACGTCCAGCTATGTGCTCAAGGGGAAGCACGCCTTGCCTTTGAGACGAAGAGGGCTGGGTTTGAACTTCATAGGTTCGACTTGGAGCACTCACTTCCTTTCTGCAGTCCTCTTACATGAGGTGGAGAAGGAGAATCCAGGTGTCCTGGCAGGTATAGTGGCTGCCTATGCACAAGACATGTCATCCCTAGCCACACATGGCCTGTCGTTGGATTCAGATGGTGATGCAAATGAGCGAATCTATTTCCAGCATGTGGGCACAAAGGGCGACTTGCCTGCTCTTGCGAAGCTTGGCTCTTTCAAAAGAACCCACTCCCATGTAGCGCGACAGCCACAGAGCAGGACACCATGCCAAGGAATATGCTATTTGTGCCTGGCAGGTCAAGAGCAGTCAGCAGATGGACGCCAACCATCCATCCCATGGGAAGACACAGCGTTGAACCCTGCATGGGCTGCGACAGTCGATCAGGTGTTGCCATGGGATGGACGTGCAGAGCCTGTGATCCTTCGAGGCCTGCCCATTGATCCAACCAGGAAGGCTAGGTTCTTCTTGACTGACATCTGGCACAACTTCCACCTTGGATTGTCGAAGCACTTCTGGGCATCAAGTGTGGTTTCCTTGATTGAGCGGCTTCCCTTGCTGCAGGCCATGACCATTGAGGCAGCGATCAAGCATCTGAGCGATGACTACTCTCGCTTCTGGAAGCAAAGGAAGATGAATCCACTTGAGAAAGAGATCAACAGGGAGGTGTTGTCCTGGCCATATGGCCGTGTATGCCCAGTTGGCAAGTGGAGCAAAGGCAGTACGGCCACAGCCTTTATGCAGTGGCTTGAGGACTTCTGCACCAGATGTGTGGTGCATCAGGCTCATGATGAGCTTCTTCTCATTGTTGAGCCATGTCATTAACAAACACCTTTTCTTTTTGGGAATTGTGGTCTGTCAACTCCAAGGTTTTGATGTTTAACTGTTTACAAGCGTTTTTTGGAACAAGTCAGGCCAAGAGCTGCAGCTCGATCAATGCTGCCATTGCCTTCTGGTATTCCTCAGGCTTTTGGATCAGGAGTCGGCAAGGGCTGCAAAGTGGCAGGTTGGTCATGCAGTTTGTGCAGGGGTATGCACGCTGTGCCAGAGTCTGCTTGGATGCAGGCACCAGCCGATTTGCTTTGGTTCCCAAGTTGCACATGGTTCACCACTGTGGGTGGCGCCTGATGTCGGAGGCCCAAAGAGCTGACTGGTGCATTTCACCAATTGCTGAGAGCAATCAGCAAGAAGAAGACTATATTGGAAAGCCTTCAAGGCTCAGCAGGCGAGTTGATCCTAGGTTGTTGCACTTGAGGAGCGTTCAAAGATCGCTCATCAGTGCGATGGGGGCTTTGGAAAGTTCACAAAGTGATACCCGTGGACTACAAGTCACTTAGATCTTGGGGTGTTTGGGTTCAAGACCGAACCGGATGCTTGAAATGGGGTGTGAAAGAAAGGATTTGCGTGCAGATCACTCTTTCTGGCATGTTTCCTTGAGCAGGCTGCAAGCATAGACTGGCCAACACTTGGCCAACAGATCCAGTTGTTGATTGTAAGTATAAATCATTGAACAGTGTTGTTGTTTCTTGAAGACACCAAAACATGAGAAAACCCTGGAGGGGCGTACTTTTTTGACAAGGGCGTACTTTTCTGCAAGGTCCAAATTCCACTCTGAAATCTTGCCTTGTTACATTTCTGAAGGACAAGTGAGATGTAGGTATATATAT